TGATTAAAACTTGGTTTTAGTGAGAGATTCAATATTTCCTTTCAATTTTATTATGATTTGTGGCTAACACCACAACATTAATATATCATATTTTTCTATAACGGCTATCTTATGGTTGATATTTATTTTCAATTTTGTTACTTTCATTCAATATTTCTTATCTTTTTTTTGGTGAATATTATTATTTGAAAAGTGAACCGAATATCAATTGAATAATAAATATTATCAACGATTTCAGTGCTTTGTTTTTAGTCATATTTCACAGTCAATGGACAAAACAGTCACTTCTATGAGGTATCAACTTATGATTTACTGGTCTTTCAATGAGAAAGAAATAGAGTTTATTAGATATTTGAAACAACAGTTATGGTTAACCATAAAAAACTATTTATTAATCGATGGAATGATGGCTGAAATATACATATTATTTCAATGCTAAAAAGTCCATCATTTGCATACAATTCACATTTTATTGTTTCTTATATACTGTACAATACAATAAAAACATAAAAAAGTATATTGTATTAAATATTTTGTATATTGTGTATTAACTACCGGTATATTGCATATTGTTTGAAAATTCAACAAAAATTCAAAAGTTTAGTTTTGATTGTATTAATTATCATTAAAAATAATGAAGTCAACAAACTGATGACTATGAAAAAGTTTTTRATAACTTTTTTMATTTGATAGCTTTTTAGCGTTTAWATGACATAAGATAAGAATATAGTATATATCACTCAATGTTTTTATCAATAATTTATAAACTGAGGATTAATTAAAATAAAAATTTTTATGAGACAAAAAACATTACTAGATGTCTAATGCATTAATGATTGACAGCGAATAAACGCTTACATAATATTATCTAATTTTAAGCCTATGTCATAGGATAGTATAGGATTGTGAGTCAAACCCTAAGTAACACTACTAATAGCTGAGATACCAGAAAATGATGGGTCCTTTCAAAATCATATATAAATTAAATGTATAGACGTATAGACATAACAACAAACTTATATTACATTTACTTATTTTAATATTCGAGTCGCGAAATATTTATGTTATATTTCGTGCACTGTTTTCTGAATATGTATTGTTATATATATATATTCACAGCACAGGGCTGTCAATATAAGCAAAGTCTATGAGAGAGAGAGAGAGAGAGAGAGAGAGAGAGAGAGAGAGTATTGAAAAATTTATAGATAGTATAATAAATATAATATTCTGTTAATATTTTTTTCTAATATTTTAGACCAGCAGTCATATAAACGACACTTAATGAGAATAAATGTCCAAATTTAATAAAAACTTGATTACAAACATGATATAGTAGTAGAAATTATTATATTTGATAATGTTTTACAAGTTAATTATTCTATAAAATAATATTAATTAACCACATTTGTAATCTATCATTTTGTAAATTATCTTTAATTTAACTAAGTAGTAGAATTTAAATATACAATACAGTTGAATATCAATAAAAAGAAATATTATTTTAATTAATATATACTAATAGTTATTTTCTTTTAAAACAATTCATAATATTGTTGTTTTATTTAATGAAAACATCATAAATTCATAAATTCTGATGAAAACATATAAATATGATGAATGACTTTTCAAAAGATCACTGAGTTTTTATAAGATTTATCAATAAAGCGAATATTTATTTTTCAAAATATGTTTTTTCAAAAGTAAACCAAATTTCCTTTTCAACCTTTTATAATAATTTGTTTGAATACAACCAACAATATTGTATAAACTTTACAAACTTATGTGACTCGCATTTCTATATTTTTTAAATATCTAACTTTATAACAATACTTTTATATAGTATAATACATATCGTGTATATATATATATATCAAATGTACTTTTGTATGATTCTGTTGTATATATTTGTCATTTTATTAAAAAATATGTTATGAATATCTCTTTTTTACATAACTTTAATCTTTAAAGCAAAATAAGTCCCAAATATTTTGTTGATATCTTATGTTTTTTACAGTAAAAGCAAAACAGCGAAAAAACATTATTGTTTAAAGTATGTCAAAATGCATCAAACCATCAATTATTATGCATTATTGCATTTGTGTTCAATCAATGAATCTATAAATTGTTATAAATAGTATCGCATTGGAAAATATATTTAATTTTGTTTTTTTAAAATGAAACAATTCTTATAAATTTTAATAATTTAATTCTAAGCAATATTAATGATACTTTTTTTTGTTATTTGGAAAATTTTACGCAAAAAACTGTTAGAATTTTCAAAGACTAATGAACCAAAATATTGTATATAGATTTTTATGGCAAATAAATTTTCATTGCTTTTTAATCCTTATATTTATATAGATATAAGTATTATTAAAATATAAACTATATATATATTGTATGTACTATACGTTTATTATATAGTTTATTATTACTATTGAAATTTTTGTAAATGATAAGTTTTTTGCACATATTTTTTTGTTAGCATTGTTAAGTTACACAATAATACATGTATTTCGCTTAATAAATAATCTAAACATAAAATATAATATTTTTCTATTTTTATAATAAATTACAATTTGTTTTATATTTTGAATATGAAATAAAACTTTCATAAAAATAAATTGCAAGTTTATATGTGTTTTGTAGTAATCAGATGATAGCAAAATGATAGACATTTATTTTGTTATTTGATATTTTGTTTCAGTAATGTTTTACAGTACAACACAAAGTTTTGTCAATTGATATTTACAATTGCTTTTAAAGATAACATATTTGTTCCGAGAAAAACATTGTATATTTAGTTTGTAYAGTATTTGTAGGCATTTTTCAGTGAAAATATTTTAGATGTTATACATCATTCAATCATCGATACATTGGTTTTGTTAGCAATTTTCCAATTTGTTTTAAAGTTACAGTATATGTCATGCTTAGTGTATGTAGCGTTGGAAATGTTGAAAATGTCAATTTGTAAATTCCCTGTTTAATTTCAAAATAACAAAATTTATAAAATAAAAAATGTTTGAAATGACAAATATTTGATTTTATTGATGGTTTGCTATTTTGGTTGTTTGGATAATGAGAAGTCACACACTATAGAAATCATATGATTATAGAATTGTTGAATTATTAGAGGTTTAGTTGCAATATTTGAAAATAAAGTAAAATACATGAAATTTTCACGTTTTAAAACAGCAGACTTTCAGTTATTAAACAACTCATACAAAAATTTAAAAAACAAACAATTTTCTATTGATTTCTTAAATTAAGTAAATTCCCGGCAATTAATTATTCGATACAACCAAACAAAACTTTCACGCAAATATAATATACATTACAGTGTAGTGTTTAACACTTAACATACTGTAGTACAGTATATATCATATATTGCAATATACAGTATTACATACAAACATTGAGTGACTTTTAAATAGTGTATTAAGTTTAGATACTATCTTCAAATAAGATGACTTATATTTAGAGAAGTTTTAAAATGATTTTGAATAAACAAGTTATACGAATTGTCGTATAAATCATTTTATTTTGTATTAACTAATTTCTAATTTTAACAACAAAATTAACTAATTACTAGATTTTAAGTTTTAGCGTTAATATGAATTATTTGGTAAACTAAAATTATATTATTTACAAAATTATCCAATGATTTAATAACAAAAATATGTTGATGAAAATGGTTTACTATTTTATGTCCCAATTTTATCATTTAATATTTGTCGTCCTCTTATGGTATTTCGTGTCAGTGAACACATTGAGAGACAGTCATACAGACAGATAAACACGCAAACAATTATAATACTATACACACTCTCCACCACATATTGATTGTACATTCAATCAAAAACAGTCAAAAGCTGTTAGTTTAAGACAATATTGTCAATTAAATTATACGAATGCCATCCAAATGTATTCAAAATATTTCTTAATCTTATTGTAATATAAATTAAATATTTTCAATTAGTAGTTATTTGAAAGCGTTTTGTGAACTAAGTTAAGGTAGCTAAGCTACTCAAAAAAAACTATGCTATTAATAGTTAAATATAGTTAAATAATAATTAATTATACAGTATATAGTATATTATTATACAGCTATACCTTATATTACATACAATAATTATATTAATGCAAAATCATGCAAAAAATATGCGATATTATTAATATTGAAGACATCAATATTTCATAAATGACTGATATTCTCATACTTTGTAAACCATTAAAATCCTATAATATTATGTCATATATTAAATTGAAATATCAAATACTGTACATCTATACTGTAGTATACACTAAATACATGTACAGTATATAAAAAAATACTTAAGGAATGTTTGAAATTAATTTTTATGTCATTAAACATAACATGCAATTATTTTTTTTGCTAACAAAAACAATGATATAATATTATAGAACTCAAAAAAAATATTTTTACACATCATATCAAATATGATATTCACAAAATATATAAAATTTAATTTATTATCTTATCTAATATTAAAGTATATGAATAAATGAATTTAAAAGTCATTACATAAAAATAATTGTTAAGATTCTGTAGATATATATTAATAGAGAGAGAAAGAGAGAGAGAGAGAGAGAGAGAGAGAGAGAGAGAGAGAGAGAGAGAGAGAGAGAGAGAGAGAGAGATAACAGTTAATAATAATAAAGATTTCGTTATTATTAGCAATAAATTTATTGATTAATCAAAAATTGATTAAAAATGTCTTTTATAGTCTCAAATCAGTGTCTCAAACGAGACATAATATTATATTGTTTGAGACATTAATTTGAAACAAACCGACAATTGCTTTGTATGTCAGACCCTCTAACCATACGTTTCTCTATTAATGACAACACTATAACTGTCTATGAATTGGACAAATAATGTCCATTCAGTCAATTGATACAATATTTGTATATCGCGTGACAATACAAATCTTATATCTAACATAACTTATGTTACATAAGGCTAAAGTATAATCCATATGTATAGATATGATGGTATGTATGGTATGGCCACAAATGAGTCGTCAGTTGTCTACAAATATTAATACTTGAGAACAACTCACGACTTTATCCTTTTATTGTCTCATCCAATACTACACGCAATACATAACACATTAGACATAACAAACATATTAGAGACTAACTCTCTACAGACTTGTAATCTTTATTATAATTTACATTTTTAATATAAAAATACTGTATATATATTATTATTATAGACAGTATGGTTGACATTACATTTTGTTTTTTAGTTTGGKTCGTCAAACATATTATTTGAGAGTTTTGCCAATCAATCAATCATTTATTCATTCAATTATATTTTGGTATTAAATCTAATTTTATCTACACTTTACTTATTCATAGGCCGGACATTTACACTGCATCTTCATCTGGACATCCCTTCAATTATCAAATACGGTGAACCCGTTTGGTTGCGCTGTGATTACAACTTAGAAGATGATTCACTATACTCTGTTAAATGGTAATACATTTTGTGTAATTAAATATAATAATTTAGTAAACCTATTAATAGTTTTAAGTTACACTTATAGTAATGAAAATTAATTAAATTTTAAATAGGTATAAAAATAATATAGAGTTTTATCGATACATGAATGAGCCAGTGATGGATCAAGCGTTTGGATCAAGTGATGACTATCATAAATTTTATGGTCAAGTGGGCATTTATGTTGATGTATGTGTGCAATGGGTACCATTACTTTTTATAATGACTATACATTTAACAAATGTTGTTTTTGGTTGTTTTATGAAACAGTTATCAAAATCCAATTCAACGCATGTATTGTTAGAGACGACAGATCTGAATACTGAGGGCACATATATGGCTGAAGTGTCGACCACTACATTCAATTCGGTATGTCTTGTGTTACGCCCCATGTCTTCCTTAGCAATCAATTTTAATAAAAAAATTTATCAAATTCTTGTCGACAATCCTTTTGTTTAATATATTTTCAGGTAAAACGACTCAAAGATATGAGAATATACGGTATGTTTGTATCAATTGATTGCTTTCTTAATAACAGATAATAACAAATATTTTTTCTATTCTTTGCTCATATTTTATATTTTCTCAACTTATGTTTCCAAACAAAATGATAATAATAATAATAATATAATATTATATTCACTATATTTTTATAAACAATGTTATATATAATATATTACTGTACTTAGTATAGTATATAGAAACCAAATTAGTTATATTATTATTGCATATTTAGTAATTTGAATAAAGACTATTCAATAGAGAAAACTATTTTTCATTTCTTATCTAAAATATAATTCAAATAATATAATTCTTTTATGATAAAGATGTAAATGTAGAGAAAATGAGAGGGAAAGAGACAGACAAACAGACAGACAAACAGACAGACAGACAGACAGACAGACAGACAGACAGACAGACAGACAGACAGAGTTTATAAAATTTATACAATATATTCATAGTATCAATCGTTCAATAAAATTGTATAAAAATAAAATACATAAGAAAATCTCTCATTAAATTTGTGCCAAAAACACAATAAAAAGAAAAGTTTTTAAAATTAAGATAAAAGTAATACTCTTTCAAACTTTGCCATACAATTAGATAACAAAAGTAATATTATAATACTACTACTTATAATATATATATATATATATAACATATATATTTTATTATTAGTGTTTATTAGAGAAAACAATTGGTTAATATATAAGTAAAAAAAAGTGAGAAATTTTTTTATCCTTGAATAAATTTTGAGTTTTGATTTAATTTATTTTATGAAATATTTATAACAAATTTGAATATTATATATGATTTTGTTAGTCAATATATCATTGCCTAAAATATTTCATGAAAGTTCTGACTTCATATGACATATTCAGTGAATTATTTGCTATAACTTTATAAATAATTGAATGTCTTTCATGACTTTTAGCTTTATATCTTAAAACATATTTTAAATCAATTTGTGATTCAATGCATTTTATATGATATTAAGTATTTTAAAAATTTTGAAATTTATGCTAAATATGACAGTGTTTGATCAAAATAAATATTAAAATAAATTTTATGCTACTATATATTTTATTTGACAATTTATCTGAATGTAAAAATATTTGTTTAAATTTGTATAAATAAGCTTTACGTAAATAACATTATTTGTTTAATTAAACAAATATTAAGTCATTAAAACATTTTAAAATGTAAATATCAATACATAACATTAAAAATAACATCAATTTGTCAATATTTTAAAGGCAAACATTTGTTGGCTCTTAAAGAAAACATCAAAAGTCATATAAAAGCAAATATAGTAAAACACTATTTTTTGTTTTGCTTTTGAAATATTAAATTTTTTTCTATACACTCAATGAATATTTGTATGCAATGAAAACTATTTAATATTAACAAAAAAGTGAACATCTAGTCCTATCTCTCTCTCTCTCTCTCTCTCTCTCTCTCTCTCTCTCTCTCTCTCTCTCTCTCTCTCTCTCTCTCTCTCTCTCTCTCTCTCTCTCTCTCTCTCTCTCTCTCTCTCTCTCTCTCTCTCTCTCTCTCTCTCGTATTTATTCATTAACGGGTAAACCACAGACATATTAATAATTAAAAAGTATTTCATTGATTTTTGTTTTCGGTATGACTTTATTTGTTTGCCGTATTTTTATAGCTTAAGAGCAAAATAAGATTTTTTTTGCAAAGATTAGAGTCAGAAATTGAATTAAGGTTTTGCTTGTAAAACACATTTTAACTGTTATTATAATCACTATATATATTCAATTGAATCCAATTTAATATGTCATTCATCTCAATATATTTCAGTACCGCCAGAGCGAGGCATTCAAATAATTGGATCCAAAGCGGAGTACAAGTTGGCTAAGGAGGGCCTTAACTTGACGTGTGTGTCGGCCCCGTCTAAACCGATCCAGATATTGGGTTGGTTTGTTAACGGTCATAGAGTATGATTAAATTCATTATAAATTATATATATAAATAATTGTATATTCAATATACTATTTACGGTATATATACATTATATACCTGTATTTTGGATATAATGTATTTTAGTATCATACTAAACCCAAACCATCACTAAGTTATATTACAATTGCATCTAACGATAATCACATTAAAAATCAAACACGTTTTGCAATAATCATATATTTTATGAATAAACATTCAATTTTATTGATATTGCTATTTGCAAAAAATGTTAATGCTTGTTTTATGTAATTTTTTTTAAAGTACTCACTTTTATTTATTTATGTTTGGGTTTTATTTAATTAAATTGTTATAAACTATGTTTTTTTGTATATTTTTGAAAGGTTTTGGGAAACGAGCCGCGAATCAACTTAAGTCGTCCGGATATCGACTACTCATCCGATGGACTCATGTCCTCGAGTCAGACCATTAGCCTCTTATTGTTATCTAATGACAACCATTTGTYTAATGGAGTTTTGGCATTAAGGTATTGCCATCACTAATGGATAAAACACTATAAACACTACAAACACTATACAATATTTTTCTAAATACTAAACATTGTCTTTATATACACAATGAACGACTGTTTTTATTTTTTTCTTTCTCTATAAAAAATATATTTAATATAAATATAATAATAATTCAAACCCATACTCAAACATTTATTTTATCAAATAAATATTTTATCATTTTATTTTTTATTTGTCCAAATAATTTCAACTTTAAACTATCCACAATTTTTTTTATAAATTTAGTTTTATTTGAAAATAGACAGAAATAACTAAAATAAAATCATTAAATTATAAATCGTTACATAATTATGTTATAATCATTAGTGGTAAATGTGTGGACAATTGGTTAGTATATGAAAGTTAATAAATAAAACTAATTTTTTCAAAATTTGACAAAAACGTTATATAAAATTAACGTATAGTAAATTATATAATACTATTATTTAATCAGAATAAATATATAAATATAATTTTAAAGTCATATTTATTTATTTATCTCAAAATATTTGTGTTATAAAATAAGATAATTTGTTGCTTAAATTAATATTGGTTTAATAAAAACTTTGTCAAATATATTTTAAAAATTATATGTATTTAAATGTAATCTATAGATCGATTTTCATAATAATTTCACAAATTATTGCTGATTAACATTAAATAAACATTTTTAAAAAAATATATCCATTAAGATATAAATATCAAATTTATGAAAATATATTCAAAATACAGTCTTCAAATGCAATAACTTTTAAGTAAGAAATTATGCAAAAATTTAAACTTATTTTTTAAATATATTTTATTYATTTATTATCAAACTTATAGTCAGACAGAGTTTATATATTTTCAACTAAACTAAAAATATATTTATTGACCAAAACTCATATTAAGATCTCATGTATTACTAAAACTTAATGCATTTACAGTACCACTATTGGCATAACTATTGGGAATGRRAATCGTGTTTCATAAAATAGTTATAAAATTATTTAAATCTTATAAATTTAATATATTGATAATTTATATTTTTAGTTATTTATTTATTATTATTAAAAATTTATTGTAATTTCAAATTTATTTAAAATACTATTTAAAAAGTTTTATTATATTAAATATGAATATGCATTTTGATAAAATATGAATATGTAATTTATTATAGTTATTATTATATTTCGAGGAAAAAACAGTCCATTATTATCTCATTTTCATTATTTATGGTTTTTATTAATAAGTCATATAAAGTTTATTAATTATAGACATTATTATTATAAATAAGTTGAAACTATATTATACATTATTGTGTACAGTATATCACAATATTTATCTAGTAATGCATATACAATATATAGTCACTTATATCACATATCGATATACAGTACGCAATACAACTGCATTGCAAATAAAGCTTTTGCACGCATCACATGCCAAACAATAAACTACTGTTTTGTGAATGCAATTAATTTAAATAAATTAATGAAATTTATGCCAATACCATATATATATATATATATATATATATATATATATATATATATATATATATATATAATATTAGATGAGAAATGCTAAATAAAAATCAATCGATGCAAACAAAAGTATTGGCTAACAAATAAAATAAAATCATTGACTGATTTAATGTTATGGTATAGTTCGTCCTCACAAATAAATAGATGAAAATCAAACTATAATTTAATGCATAACACATGTTATATCGATTTACAACAAAATAAGTATAAAGAAAATACTTTTGTATTTAATAGAAATAGTTATAAGAAATGTCACAACAAATATGACAACACCTATAATACAAATGATTGACTTTTTACTCACTTTTATTGACTTCTTCTATAATTATATAGTAAAGTGATTACAAATACATTATTATTTTAGTCGATTATAGTAAAACCAATAAAGTAATGCAAACAATTGTTAAACAAATTTTAAATATATTGATTTATATCATTATTTAGGTGCTCATCAATTATGACACAGATATATGGTGTCAACTTTGAGGAGTTGGTTATTGAAGAACACGGGAGGTTTGCTGATAAACAGGGCGTTCAACAAACTGAGGGCGACTATGAATCTCTTGGACATCATTACAGTCCACCAAAAATTGATGGCCACAGCAATAGATACAGTATTGGAGATATTGTTGATTTGAACTGTTCCTCGACGTCGGGCACATGGCCTCCACCACTGCTCGAGTGGTCCATCAATGGAAAAGATGTATTATTTGCAAACAGTTTTATGAATCATTTGTTTTACTTTATTTTCAATATTGTTTTTTTATGAAAGTGTTGTTTGACTTATTTTTTATAAGTTAAACTTTTTTCATTGTGTTTTGTTGTAATCAATAATAATTTTTGTATTTTATATACAGTATTATATTTTTATTCTATTTATATGTCAGATACTGAACAGTCAACTAATAATTTACAGCAAAGTCAACGATAAAATAAAATTTAGTTCAACTATTTATGACAACTTTGCCCACTTTGATGATCATAGGAGAGGATCTGTTTTGGGATTACGCTTTCAAATCACTAAAGAGCACTATCAGGTGTCACAAGTATTTATCATATTATAGGTCAACACACTATCAATACTGTATAATATTTTTTCATCGAAAAAAATCATTACAACATTTTACACTTTTACTCTTTAATACACTACAGTATATAATGTTATTCTATAATATTTGTTAGAAATATCCAAAACACAAATATAATACATTTGTATTTAAACCTCTATCCTATTAAATAACTAAAAGCCTAACACTAGATATTGTTTGACGTATTTTTACAGACATCTGACGGTAAACTAAGACTAAGATGTAGTGCCACTCATGCGACCATTATTAGCACCGACAGTACGGAACTGACACTGTTTTCACGCGGAAGACAGAGCTCTCTCTTATTTGCCTCCGATGCCAATATCATTGGTATGTCATCTTTATCTCCCTTTCCACCATAGATTATCAAAACATTTGCAATAACATTATTATCATTATTATCGTTATATATCTCTTATACAATACAATATTAAAATTTGTTTTTAAAAAAATTATTTTTAAAATTATAGCAAAAAAACAGACATCTGTTCAAACATTGAGAACACGTTAACATAAAATCACTACCTTTTATATAAATTTATAGTTAAAATTATTAATTACAGAATAAATTTTTATATTTTATTTCTGTAAAATTAGAAAAAATGTTAGAAAATTTATGTTTTAACGTATAAACACATTTATAGTTTGTTTTTAAACATTTTAGTGATTTTAAGTGAGAATTTTATTTAAATTAAAACTTTTATAATCTGCACTGATATTAACAAAAGTAAATATTTTTTATTATAAATAGAAATCTATAGAAAATAAATATTGTATATGACAAGTACTTTATATGTTATTCAATTTATAGTTTATATAATATAAATTATTGACAAAAATATTGATAGTGTAATGTATTATCTTTAATATTATCTTTGACTATACTATGATATAATAGTATAGTATTACTATCATTAGAGCAAATATTTATATTAATGGGTAATATATTGCTCACACAACTTATCGTATATATCATATTAACTACATTTTATGGTTTAATTAATTATGAGAACCACAATATACAATACTATACATTATATACTGTATATGATATATTACTGTATATAATATAGATCTATTACTAAATTAATAGTACTATACTTTATATAAATCAATAGACACAAAATATATAACATTTATTAATTCTTGAACTATTATAAACACTTTAATAAGTTTGAACACAAATTATATATAAAATATAATTGATATGTTAATAACGGATAGGTATGGCATTTGGACGCATAGCTTTTGGTGCCTTTCTCTACTATACTACAGTCGCATGGATTAACTCTATCTAATGGTTGGACTTAAAAGCAGAAATTGTTAACAAATTRTGTAGTTTTTGCATAAAAAATAATTTTTCAACAATTGGATAACAAGAGACATGTATTATGCAACAGATATTATATAACACGTGCCCTCAAATGCACTCATCATTTATCACAAGTGGTCTCAACATTAACACCCATTCATTGCCATAAAAACATATAAATGAATAAAAAAAAGTAAAAATTATAATAACAAGTAATATATTAGTTTTGCGCTCATTTTTTTGTATACAATATAAAAAATAATAATATTGTAAATAAATATACATAAATTGTTGAGCTATTATTTATAAATATGTAATTGTTTTTTATTAAATTGACAATTTATTAGAAGCTCACAAATATTATTGTTAAATTATATTAAATATTGTATTAAATTTTCTGTAATGTATATAACAACTGTTTAATACATTGTTTTTAAAATAACATATGAATTTAGTTACTTTATGTAATATTAAATAAAATTAATTGAATTATTATTTAAAAAATGAATACAAATTAATTGATTATTGATTTAGTAAATAAAATAAAATAAGCTAACAATTTATCTATAATAACAAGTTTAATAAAAATGATAAAATTATTTATTAACATATTTTTGGCAAATTTGCTAAAATAGAGACCTATTTGATGAAATATTGAGACCGATGTAAGTATTAGGATATTAAAAAAAGTGTTAGCAATGGATGGATAAAAAGGATGGCATTGGATATGAAAGATGTGTTATTACTGTTGATAAGGAAAAGAAAATACAAGACTTATATAATGTCTAATTTGCAGCAAAAATAAGTTTTGTGTGAAGAGAGAGAGAGAGAGAGAGAGAGAGAGAGAGAGACCAAAAGTGTAGTCAAGTACTCATTATAAGCTTAATAACTCATATGATATAACACTTCTAACATCCCTTTACTTAATATCGTTGAGTTCATATGTTTGGCATAAGATTTTACAGTGGCTTAACTCGTGAGATACCAGTGCTTCTCATAAATAAAAGTATATACAATGGTATACATACTTTACTGTACTATATTTAATATATATATATATATATATACTGTATTATTTTTATACACATAAAGATATCTATGATAAAGAAATAATTATAAATAACAAAAATACAAAATTWATTTCTTTTAATATTGAAATAATGTTATAATTATCTATTAAATTAAATTAATAACAAATTGTCGCAAAATTAGCATACAGTATCTATATAATTAATATGGAATTTATATAAAAATTAATTTAATTAATTATTATTTATTAATAATAAAATTTGTTAATTATTATTTTTTAAATTTTGTATTTTATAAGTTAATACAATTAAAAACATGGTTTGATTACAATTCTGTAACTCAATTGATATCAATAAATTAAATAATTATGTATTTGTTGGTGTTTTGTTATTATTGTTATTTTTGATAATATAACAATGGGATTAAGTCAGTGATAAAAGTTAAGTCACGACACCAAATGTCTTAAGTGTAGTAAAAGTAAATATATAAACGGTGTGTCCATAAAGTCATTAAATAAAAACTCTTAAGTCATTAAATAAATTATAGTTTGCGACAAATTCAATGACAAAATAAAGAGCAATACATTGTCTTTACTGTTATGAACACACATTTAGGTGCAAACCATTCAAACTGAGACAACACTGTTATCTATACTTACTTTCTTTTGTGTAACTTATAGCAAACTATTTTACTGATAGTGTAATATTATTTGGTGTCCATTTTATTAGCACTTGTATGATATTTGTCTCTATAGTAAATCCAATTTAGATTGCATGTGGATCAGCTGGTGGCGAGCACTGTTGGTCTATTGTATACCATTGAATACCAGTGCCACACAAGTCATATACATGAATACATGACCAGAATAAATATATTACTAAACAATACACAAATTGTTTGCTTCCATAGTTTGCTGCCTTAACATACATTAAGTGTCTTTTTTACAGTATATATCAATATATAGAGTACTGTATATATGCAAAGTATTTCATGATTTTTGATGGACTCCTCAAATATAAAGGCAATGCTTTTAGTGAATATTTTCCGTTTGTTTCCTTTATATATATTTTTATGTTTATTAAGCAAAAAATGTTTTACACAAATAAATTAAAATGGTTATGCAAATTAGCTACTAATATAACATATAATACTGTATATACTTTATATATATGAGTCTATAGTTATTAAACTGTTACTACTGTCGTGTAATACTGTATACTATTTATATGAAACTTGTTATTAATTTATGCCATAAAATTAGAAATRCTTTACTCTTTAAAAATCAATTTTTATTAGTGCTTTCATCTTTAGTTTCAATATAGTCATCTCTTTTCCAATAGTTTTGTATATAAATTTGAAATTATTTTATTACATTTTATAAAAAATAACTTTAAGTGAATTACAAATACGTGTTTTGGTTATTTGATATTAAACTATTGATTCAATCAATTAATTTCAATGAATGAAGTATTGTATTGAATTTATTGTACAAAATTTGTATAACTTTAATAAAATAATAGTTTTTAGAAATGACATAAAACACTTAAATTAAATTATTATTTATTTATTTTTATAAAATTAGATTATTTTTATTTAACATTTTAAATGCTGCTAATTATATAATTAAATATATGAAATATTATATAATATCAGCAAATTATCAAAATAATAAATAATTTGTTAGACTTTTTGTCGTAAATTATTAAACAAAGCTATAATATTATGTGTTAAGCAAAAAAGTCATCATTTCAATGATAAAAATGTGAATTGAATATCAAATTTGATACTATTATTGCTTATACTTGCAAACAATTTAAATGATAAAGCATTGAAATGACTTAAATATATAATAATAATGATAATAATGTGAATGAGAGACAAAACAATCGATTTTTATGGAGAAAACAAATTTAGTTAATCAATGATTTTTGTCACCCATTCATTGTAATAGTGATTATTTGAGTGTATTTTCAGTGCCGACAAATAGCATGCAATAGAGATTAATGAGAGCACAGTTAGCTCAGAAAAACAAACTTTTAACAACACATCATTCGTTTCAATAAACTTAGTGCACCTCTAATTGTAAATACATTTTACTATAAGACTATAATAACTGTTAAATATAATGCTTTTTACTATTTATTGCTTCACTCTCTCATCATTTTATCTGTTTATTTGCAATAAAGAAAATAATTTTCTTTAAACATTAAATTAAAACATTTATTAAAACTCACTAATAATAAGATATTATCATTATATCTGAAAAATTCAACATGCTTATTTATGATTTAAATTAAATTATTACTTTGAACCTCAAACTATGTCTATATGTATAGACTGACCAAATTGTTTTGCTCATTTCCTGTATTTTAAAAAATTAACTAAAATTATTGTATTTATTTCATATTATCCAAACTTATTTTTATATTAAAAATTGCATTCAAACTAATTGCACAATTAATTGGTTTAATTGGTTGAAAACTACAATAATTATGGTTAATATAGTTCTATTGAAACTCATTTGTTTGATATTATACTTAGTATTCAATCAATGTTTACAACGATAAAGAAAACAAGTTTAAATTATTATATTAATAATGTAGTTAATTTGAGTTCAATTGTTAATATAAAAATTAATTTTGGATAAAATGATTTGGATCAAATCAGTTTGCAACCGAGTGCAAATGAGTGCAACCGTAAAATTACATATACATTTTAGTACATTAGTTTAACATATACATTTATATAAAATATTTTCGATATTTTTAAGTAATATAGTTTATAAAATTTTATTTATTTTTAACTGTAAAACATTGGTTGAATTTTAAGGCAATTTTTTTTAAATTCAAAAATATATATCTTTTAAAAACTAATTGTATTTTAATAATCTTTTTATTTGAAATTTTGATACAATAATTATTAGTTTAATTGTTGCATTCGTAAAGTACAGAGATATCAGTGATGATCATATGGTCAATGCTATCGCTTATAATATTGAATAATACAATATATGTGTTAGAATTTAAGGGTTGACTCATAAATAAGTCGATAGGTATTTAAGCTTTTGAAATGTAATTTTATTACTATATTATTATTATTAATTTACAGTAAATTAAGTAAAATGTTTGCTATTAATTTAACAATTTAATATTAACAAAAGTATTAATTTTTTAATTTTTCTAATAATTAAATTATTACTCATTTAAGTGAAATATATTTCTAAATATAAATTATTTTAATATAAGGCTACATAAATACTTTTGTTTAAATTAATCTAGAATTTATGACAAAAATAAATAACTATCACTAACCTTAAAAATACTAATAACTCATTTAAAATCAAATACCATAATAATGTAAAATACAAATTTTGATGAATTTTTGTACGAAAACATAAGCTCCTGTACTTTTGGGAAGTCTAGTATTTATACACTATAATTAGTATGCTACATTTAACAACTAAGTTTATATTTTAGATTTAAAAAATATATTTAATAATAAATAATATGTTTAGTTTCTTAACTTTATTTTAAAATATATTTACATTTAGCTATTATAAAGCAACTTGTATTTAGGGATATTATTACTTTTACTATAGTATAACATACTATAATAAAAATAAAATATAAATAATAATAATTATTATTATAATAATAAGATGAAAAACTCTGTTTATTGGTTAACATTAAATATAAATATTCACAACATATTTGTCTTCATTATATGAGTAATACTTTTCTGGTAATTTGAGTCCAAAGCATATTAAGAAATGCTAAAATCACATCCCCGTAGACTATATTAATGATACTAACAATACATTAATAGTCTGATCACAACATCAGACCCAACAAAACACAGGCATCTTATCTATTGAGTAGTGGATGTACTTCTATACTCCTATTAGTAAAGTATAGCTATTATTCAATAGTGGCTAAAAAGAAACTCATGTTTTAGTTA